CCGGGTGTGACCAAGATGCACTGAGATTTGAAACGACTTTTTGGTGGTCTGACATGAAGAAACACATAACAGAGTTTGTGGTTAAGTGCCAAAACTGTCAGCAAGTAAAGCATGAGCACTAAAGGCATGCAGGTTTGCTTCAGCGAATGCCAATTTCGGAATGGAAGTGGGAAAGGATAGCTATGGATTTTGTGGTTGGTCTTCCCAAGACCTTGGGGAAGTTTGACTCCATTTGGGTAGTAGTTGATAGACTGACTAAGTTCGTCCACTTCATTCCAGTCAGAGTGGATTATAATGCGCAACAGTTGGCTAAGGTGTATGTGAAGGAGAAAGTGAGGATGCATGGACTTCCCCTTTCTATCATCTCGGACCAGTTGGGCACTCAACTCACTTTTAGCACAGCCTTCCATCTGCAAACGGACGGGAAGTCAGAATGGACTATTCAAGTGTTAAAGGACATGTTGAGGGCATGTGTGATTGACTTTGTAGGATATTGGGATAAGTTCCAACGTTTGTGTGAGTTCTCCTATAACAACAGCTACCGCTCCAACAATGATATGGCACCGTTCGAGGCCCTTTATTAGAGGGGATGTAGATCACCCATAGGATGGTTTGAGGATGGAGATGTGAAACCTTTGGGGGTTGATTTGGTGAAGGATGCTGAGGATAAGGTAAGAAGCATCCAAGCTAAGCTTCTAGCAGCCCAGAGTCAACAGAAGAAATGTGTAGACCATAAGGTAAGAGACATGACATTTCAGGCCGGTGAACAAGTTTTTCTTAAAGTGTCACCCGTAAAAGGGGTGATGAGATTTAGCAAGAAGGTCAAGCTTAGTCCTCGATACATTGGATCATTTGAGATTCTTGACTCTGTAGGGCCAGTGGCTTATAGGTTAGCCTTACCTCCTAGCTTATCTGGATTTCATTTAGTGTTTCATGTGTCCATGTTGAAGAAGTATCATGGGGAAGGGGATTACATCATAAAATGAGACTCAGTTTTGTTAGATAAAGACCTTAAATATGAGGAGGAACTGGTTGAAATTCTTGATCGCAACATCCGAAAGTTGAGGATAAATGAGAGAAAGTCCGTGAAAGTTTAATAGAAGCATCGTCCGATTGAGGAAGCTACTTTGGAAATCGAGAAGGACATGCGAGACAAGTATCCCCAGTTGTTCAACAATCCATGTACTACTCTACCCTTGCGAGACAAGTATCCCTAGTTGTTCAACAATCCAGGTACTACTCTACCCTTGCGAGACAAGTATCCCCAGTTGTTCAACAATCCAGGTACTACTCTACCCTTACTTTAGCCACTTTTTCCTAGTTTATCACTCGGGGATGACTGATGGATAAATTGGTATCTATTGTAACGACCGGTTTCCATCGTTATGGAAAAGCCAATGGGGAAAGAATTGGGTCAAAAAAAAATTTGGGTAGTGACTTGGGAACTCCTAGCCTAGTCCAGATTTGTATGAAATCTGAGTCAGTGAGGTCTAGGTAAAACTGGTAACGAATGAGAGTTTTAATTATGAATTTGATCATAAGAGTGGATAGCCAAGACGTTAAGAGCTCGTACGACATTACAAAATTGAATTCGGACGAGTAGAACTCCTGAAACTGTTCATAGCGTGAGCGAGTAGTTTTTTAACGTCAAGGGTTGAATATGTGTTGTGAAATGGGAGTTTGGAACTCAAATTCCGACTCTCTGTCTCCGTGCAAGCCTCCAGGGCGGGATTAATCCCACCAGGGTGAGGCCGCTGTGGCGGGAAGGGGTCCGCCGTAACAGGCCAGTCGTGACTTAAATCGGGTAAACACCCAAAAAATGTTAGTTTTCTGCAACTTTTGTTCTTGAGAGCTAAGAAACGACCTAAAGGTAAGATTTTTACTCCCCTAATCCATTTTTCAATCCGTAGAAGTTAGATTCTTGGGTAATTATGATTGGGGGAGGGTTTTGACCTGAAGTTAATGGTGGAAAAATCCTTAAGTTGGGTATTGGGATCTTGTGTTTGGCCTAGGGTTGATAATGTCTATTGTAATCCGGGTAATTAGACCTTGTTTATAGATCCTTGCTTAACTGATTGTTTTAAGACTACGAACAAGCGAAAAGAATTTAGAAAGGGAATGCTCAAGAGTCTTAGGAGGATTCAAGCTTGGTTTCGAGGTAGGTGATGGTTTGATTTCATGTTTGTGTGATATATGTCAAAAATTTATTCACTGTAATGCATGCATGTATGTGAATGAGGCACTGTAGATCAAACCTAATGAAATGAGTACGAATGAACAATTGCATGCCATGAGCCTAATACTTGATTGTATGATTATGAGTACGTACATTATGGGTATGATTGTGATTGTGGTTGTGCTTATTGGATCAGGTGTCACGTTCTGACACATATATTGGATCCGGTGTCACGTTCTGACACATACCTTGGATCGGGTGTCACATTCCGACACATATATTAGATCGGGTGTCATGTTCCGACACATATATTGGATCGGGTGTCACGTTCCGACACTCTAACAGTTTGGGTATGGGTTCCATGAGAGGACCATTGTACTGTTGTATTTACTTGTTATTGAGAATGTGGAATTGTACATTGCTCCTGAAATGATAACTGATTTATATATTCTGCATATGCGTGTTTATTGTGTTGTGATTACTTGTATATGTTTCACTTACTGGAATAGTCGCGTGATACTACCAGTACATTGTGATTGTGTACTGATACTGCTCGTTCTTTGTTGAGTATAGGGCATCTTCAGGCGGCTACGGATAGACCTCGGCTAGGAGATCAGTGATCGAGATCGGAATCAAGGGTGAGTCGATTCTTTCATGCTGCCATGAATCCTTCATTTTTGTTTAGTCCATTCTCTTCGGACTCAGACTAGTGTTAAGATATTTCTTATGTTTGGTTGGGGTTATCCCACTTTTTCTTAGACTTGTTGCACTTTAGATGTTTTGGTACAATGACTTTCAGTTCTAGGGGTTAACTTCTGCAATAGTTGTTAGTTGTTTTGTTGAACTTCCGGAGTTTATGGGAACTCCGTATTTCTTTAGTCATTTAAATCTACTTCCGTTCTTTAAATGCTTAGTTTTTGGTTAAGTTTGAAAATAAATAAATTTAAATGTAATTTTAATTTGTGGTGGTGTCACGTAGGCGAGCATAGATTTTTTTTTATATATATGATGATATATGAATCTGATTAAATTCCTTCTGCTTAAAAAAAGAGAGAGAGAAACAAATTGTTGGATAAAGGCTTTACAACCTCCGTGTGTGGTCTTTTCCTTTGACAGAAACAAATTCATTTGTAGAAACTTCTCTTATTTAAAGTCACAACCACTAACTATCCACACACTTTTTATTTAATTACTTCTCAATTTTCAACAAATTAACTAAATTCATGGCATCTTCTTCTGCGAGTTCTTCACACTACTCTCCTCAATGGAAGTATGTTGTGTTTGTAAGTTTTAGAGGTGAAGATACTCGTAAAAAATTTACAAGTCACTTGTTTAAAGGTTTGAATAACAGGGTTCACTTTTCAAGATGATAAAAGGCTAGAGTATGGCGATTCGATCCCAAAAAAACTCATGAAAGCTACCAAAGATTCTAAAGTTGCCCTTGTTGTATTCTCAAAGAATTATGCTACATCGAGGTGGTGCTTAGATGAACTAGTGAAGATCATGGAATGCAAGGACAAAAATGGACAAATAGTCATACCGATCTTTTATGATGTGGATCCATCACATGTTCGAAACCAAAGGGAGAGTTTTGCAGAAGCATTTACCCAATACGAAGCATTTACCCAATACGAATTGAAGTATAAGGATGATTGTGAGGGGATGCAGAAGGTGCAAGGATGGAGGACTGCCTTAACTGCAGCCTCAAATCTAAAAGGACATGATATCCGTGGCGGGTGAGTTAAAATCACATAATTACTTTTAATGAAAAAAAGAATGAAACTGCATATACAATCTAATTTCATTGATTATCATATAGGCGTAAGAAATGTTTTTATATATTTTTTCCGGAAAACAGAGTGATTGTAGATTATATATGTTTCTATCAGTAAGAAGGCATAGTCCTATCATACTTAAATTAATATTTCCTATTTAATACTCTCCTGAATATTAACAATGTGAAATATTTTCTCAAATTTCCCACAATTAATCTTTTTATATTTATGTAGGATTGAATCTGAGAATATTCAGCAGATCGTCGACCACATCTCCAAATTATACAAGAGTGCTTATTTTTTATTTTCTTCGCAAGCTGTGGGAATAGAAACTCATTTAGAGAAAGTAGAGTTCTTACTTGAGAAAGAAATGGATGATGTTCGGATTGTTGGGATATGGGGAGTGGGCAGAATCGGCAAAACGACAATAGCAACAACCATCTTTCATATATATAATCTATCTGGTCAATTTGAAGCTGCTTGTATTGTTGATGATGTTAAAGAAAATGCAAAAAAGAATGGATTATGTTTTTTACAAAATATCCTTTTTTCTGAACTATTAGGAGAAGAAGATAATTACATCAAGAGTAAGCATGTGGGGAAAGTCATGATTCCAAGCAGACTTTGTCTAAGAAGGTCCTAATTGTGCTTGATGACATAGATCATAGTGATCATTTGGAGTATTTAGCAGGTGATGTTTGTTGGTTTGGTAATGGCACCAGAGTTATTGTAACAACTAGAAATAGAGATCTAATAAAGAATGATAATGCAATATATGATTTGTCTACGCTACCTGATCATGAAGCTATGCAATTGTTCTATCAATATGCTTTCAAAAAAGAAGCTCCAAATGAGCTTTTTATGAATCTCTCCTTGGAGGTGGTAAATCATGCTAAAGGCCTTCCTTTAGCCCTCAAGGTGTGGGGTTCTTTATTGTATAACAAAGACCTAAGTCGGTGGGAAAGAACTGTAGTCAAAATTAAAAAAACCTCTAATTTAGAAATAGTTGAAAAGCTCAAAATAAGTTATGATGGCTGGATCCTGAAGAGCAAAAGATATTTCTAGATATGCCATGTTTCTTCCGAGGATATAGAAAAAATAGAGTCATGCAAATCCTTGAGAGCTGTGATTTTGAAGCTGAATACGGATTGGATGTCCTAATTGACAAATCTCTTGTGTTCATCTTTGAAACTGATACGATAGAAATGCATGACTTGATGCAAGATATGGGTAGATATGTGGTAAAATTGCAAAAAGATTCAGGTGAACCTAGTAGACTATGGAATGCTAAAGATTTCAACGAAGTGATGGTCAACAATACGGTAAGTAGGATAAACAATGCAATGATATTCAATTTCTTATTTTCATATTCCAAGACTTATAGGGCAGTCAATTCCAATTATTTGTTCCTCTTGCTTCATAATATTCTTGTTGACTTATAATCTTTTTACCAGGGGACCATGGCAATGGAAGTAATCTGGTTTACTTATTTTGAACAAATATACTTAAACAAAGAGGCAATGGAAAATATGAAAAAGCTTAGAATATTATACCTAGATGATGGTAGGCCGCACCGCTTGGCTTCACCCCCCTCTGATATTGATTCGAAACACATTCCCAACGGCTCCATTGAGTGCTTGTCCAACAACTTGCGGTGGGTTTTCTGGAAGCACTATCCTTGGGAGTCATTATCAGAAAAATTTAAACCTCAAAGGCTTGTTCATCTCAATCTCAGTCGGAGTTTGTTGCATGATTTATGGACAAAAAGAAAGGTACCGTTTTATTTGAAATACTTGCTATTTTGACTTTTCCTAGAATTATGATGTTTGTGTTTAAGCGACATAAGATATTAATTCCATAAACTCGAATTAAAATTAGACACATTCTTGATATATATATATCTAAAAGATGTTTAATGAGTAAAATTCAATATAAATTCATCGTTAGTGTTAATTGATACTAAATGATGAAACATAAAAAGTTTGGCAACATCTAACAGTTAATTAATATTTAATGGAATTTTATTAAGTTACATAACTATGATTAATCTTTAAATTGCTTATATTCATCATAAATGTGAAAAGTTCTTGCATGTTATTAATCAATATATCATTCTTATTAATAGTGCAAACTAAATGCATGCTGGCAAGCAATGTGTTAAAGAAAAAATTCAGCTTGCAATAAAATGATTTTATTTAAAAGTTAACCAATAAATTGACCATATTCATCTTCAAATGTTTTTTTATTTATTAATAATATGTTATTAACTGGTCAACTTTGTAACTTACGAATGAATATCATCACTTTATGACTCATTAGCTTGCAGTTAAGTTAGGAAGTAAAAAGGTTGTGAAAACATTTTAATTAATTAATAGTTAACTTATGTATTAGATATTTTAAACCATTTTGAATAAGGTTAGCCCTAAAATGGTATTTCAATTTACATTTAGAACCATTTTCTTGAATTATATATAAGTTTCGCACATTGCTTCTAAATTTAACACTTTATTTTAGGCAAATTTACCACTAGACAGTGTCTAGCAGTCTTTTATTAAACATAAAAAAAAAATCAATAGGGACAAGTACAAGAAAGGGGGGCTTGGCCTTACCTTACTAATCCTAATGAAGTACCTAACTTCTGCTACCTAACAAGCATGAAGAAAATAAGAGCTAGAGATAACTAAGTATTTTCTAATCATCACAGAGTTTTTAATACACTACATGATGATATTACAAATGAGGATGCTTAAATAATGTAAAAATATGTCAATCAAGAAGAAAGTTGAGTTACCAGCCTCAAACTTTCTATTACAAAAGCATGAATTAAAAAAGATTGATTGCCCATCACATGTAACTTGAAGTATATTTATCTTATCTTCTTCTTCAAATTAAACCTATCCAACAACATTTGATGATTCATACCTTCTTTATGGATTTATTGGATCTAGTTGAACCTATTGATACTGTCAAATGGTTTTGCTTTGCCTATCGCATCGGTAGGTGCCTTGGAACAAACTCCTTAGTCATTTTACCATCCAACTATGTTGTCTTCCATGTGTCTTCTTTTTGCTTTTATTGCTTCCACTTCTTTGTTGCTTAGGTGATATATCCCATTCCCTAGACACTCTATCAAAGCATATGTCCAGCATATTGTCTTCCTCATCTTCATCCAGAGAATCCTCACCCAAATTTACTGCATCTTCATCAAGAGAATCCTCACCCGAATCAATTGTATTTGACACTAACGCCCTTGACTCATTCTTCTTTGCAAACACATATTTAGGCACAAATACGGGAGCTTCTAGACTTAATTTGCTATTCAAAGCAGGTGGTGAGACTTGTTTTTCTTGGATCAAATCGTTGTCATTCTCTGTTAACCTTACTTGCTTTCTAGTAGTCTTCAATAAAGCATCAAAGCTATTCGAACATAATAGGTCTCTTGAGGCATTACTAGTATCTTGCCTCTTCTCACTGTCATGAAAATTTCCAATCAGACCCTTTTCACTACATGGAGAATTATTTTGACTAGTCGGGGAAAGGATCCGACTACTAGTTGATTTTTTGTGTGCAACCAGTGTCCAGTTTTTAGTTGGATTCTCATTTTCAACTTGCAAAACATGCTGCCCAGAATTTTCAGCATCTTCAACATCAGATGTATCCATTAGTTTTTGTCCTGAATCTATTAATTTTTTCCCTGAACCAACTCGTGGTGCATCAACCCCAACTCTTGGTGTTCCCTCTGCGTTTTTAGTTGCATTAGACATCAAATTTAGCCTAACTTCTTTTGATTGCATCTCATTAGTAGCAGCCTGTTGGTTATTGCAATCACCTTTGTTTTCGGTAGTTGTTTGAACACCAATATTACTTGTATCAACATCCATTGAGTCTACACGATTTTTCTCAGAACTGGAAGCAACCAATTGTCGATCTAAAGAAGTAGCTTTACTTTGATCGACATCTACAATCTTTCTTTTTTCATTTTAATATTTTCTCTCGCATCGCCCTTGATACTTTTTCACTATCAGTAGTACCTTTTAAGCAACTTCAATGGTATCATCAATTTGTTTGTTATTTTGATTTCTTTTCGAGATCAAACGACAACTATCTTCATCATGACCTTAGTGCTTACAATAATTGCAATACAAAGGTATATTATCATATACAATCTCCTGAAAAACCTCGATTAACTTAACAAATTTTCCATTCACAAACTGCAACCTTATACGATTTGGAAGATTTTCCATTAGATCAAGTATAACCTTGACCCTAGTCGTGCTAGGTCTTGACTTGATTTGAGTAGCTTTATCTATAGCTATTGGTTTTCCAACTGCTGATGCTATAGACAACAGAGACTTCTTTGCAAACAAATCTAGAGATAAGTTCGGTAAAGAAATCCAAACCACAGCTAACGTTATTTCCTCCTTAGGGTTATATCCAATGGACCATGGAAAAACCCTACATTGGTGCTCTTCTCCATTGTAGAGAAGATAATTAACTGAGCGAGATAAAGTTAGTATATAATCTTCATATTGATCAAACCTCAACAAAATTTGTCTTGGAGCAAGTAAGTCAATTAAACAATTGCCCTTGGTACCAAGATGTTTCGGTAAAATTGACTTTAATACCTTCAAATCTGGCGCACCATGGGATAATTTAAACACCACTACTTGATGTAATCCCTCTTCGATCATAAAGTCTTGCCTTTCCTCCATTGAAAACGTGATAATAGGTTCTCCATGAATTAATTAGGGAAGATTGTTTAGGATTTATAGTATTGGAATTGAAAAGGGTGGCGTATGTGGTGGTTTGGGGTGGTGGTGCGGGCTGGACAGCCTCGAAAAGAGGCCGTCCAGTGGCTGTAGCAGCCATGATAGCTGCGCAGCTACTGCCTTTGTAGGAGCCGCCAGAAACCCTTAACCTAAAGGTAGAAAACTAGAAATTAGGAGGTCGTTTCGTTTTTTTTGTTTTATATTACACTTCTTTTTTAAAAAAATTGAAAATATTTTCTCTTGGGCTACATTCCTCCTTGTGAGTCTCAGGTTGAGAGTCACATCTTTCTTAAATACATGTTTGACAGGGGGGAGGTAGAATATAAATTATAAATTTGGTCGAACTCAATAACTTTAATTAAAATTTTGTATTTTTTTCAAGAAATATGTTGAATATTCATAATTATTAATTTAGAACCCAATAATTCAAATGGAATAAAATTTCGAACTCATAATTCGAATTCTAGTTTCGCTTCTGTAGATTTTGGAACTACACTACTTGGGCTAAAATTTTTCATTTTACAAAAGAAAAAGCTACATAATTAGACATACATACATACATACCATATATACTAATCTAACATATACTTTCATATTATCCCACTATTTAATAATTTTGTACCTTATTCGCCTAAAATGGAGACCTTAACTATATACCCACTTAATTCTCTACATAATTTATGTATATACTCCAAATCAACCCCCTCTCTCTCCTAATTTTCCCTTCCCACATTTCGTCACCATTCTTTCTCCTTTTTCTCCCTTACACAATCTTCTTATGTTAATCCTACCTCCGTTATTGCACTTACAAAGCTCGCGAATGACCATAACTTCAATTTTATCGATGGAGAATCTAAATCAATTTATTAATAGTTAGAGAAATATAATCCTCTCCAACGAACATAGCTCCTATTCTTTCATCCACATTATCTTCTCTCTTGCTAGTATGTATTCAGAGATGCTTGTTATAGGTGGTCTCCCTATGTGGGAGAGAGCGGGAAATTGCTTGATGTAAGATGGCCATCTATTTGGGTCAGAATTGATTTAGAAATCTATATTATTTAGTTAATAATTTATTAGTACTTATAAAACCCAGCTCCATCATTATTGTCACGATCCAAATCTTCGTGAGTAGCACCCACACTAAACCACTTGGTAGGAGAACCAACTACTAATCCAACACATCATTACTAGAAGCAGTTCATCATATAAAACTAAGAAAATAGTTTAGAATAACTAAAGAATTGAGTCCCCTTAAACTCAACCCAATAATCGAAACATTTATGCAGAAATAAATTCCTAAAAACTGAAAGTCGTGGGACCAAAATTTTAATTTAATCAATGTTCAATAATGGGACGAAACCCCAAAAACTTAGAAAACATAAGTAATAGTCTAAATGTCTTTTCCCGAAAAGATGGACAAGAAAAGAAAGAGGAATTCATAGTAGCCTAGAAGAGTAGCACACCCTTTGATTCGATAAGGTCAAGCTTACTTCAGCTGAGGTCTCACATCAGCAGCCTGAATATGTCCATTACTCAACAAGGAAAGAGCAAGTGTAGTATCACTAGACAAATCACAGTATACTGATATGATCACACAACTAATTCACGCTTTGAATGTAAACAACTAACCACAATACAATAAACATAGTCCAACACATATAACATTAATAATCACCAATACATAGACTTCAGTCACAATATCATCAAATGAACCAATACCTAGATGCATGTCCCACATGATTCCAAGAATAATAATACAGAAAAATAGGAGGTTTTAGAACTTTTTCTGTATAAAATTCTGACTTACCCCGCTATAGCGATCCGACCCGCTATAATGGCCCTGGTATAGTGCTTGCATATGCTTGTTATAGCGGAAATTAAATATTTTCAGTTTTCTAATCATTTAATTAATTGAATGGTATAACTAATGCATAGACTCTTCAGTTTTGGAATATGAATAGTTATTTTCATTTTTCTAATCATTTAACTAATTGAATGGTATAACTAATGCATAAACTCTTCTGTTTTGGAATATGAGTAGTTATTTTCATTTTCTATATATATGTTGTAAATTAATTATCATATCTTACTTCTAATACTTTTTATAGTTTTCTCTTGTATTTGCTAATTTTTTTTATTTTTTTTTCTTTGCTTCAGATCTTATCTTGTAATTGTGAATTCTTTCCTTCTCCATCGCATCATCAGGTACATAATATATATGATAGTCATATCATTGGAATTATGCTTAGTCATGAAGAAGGTAAACATTTATTAGGCCAATTCACTAGGAATATTTTTAGTTTGTTAAGATGTATCTCATTAGGAAATATAGAGAACTTGTATTGTTTGAGATCCATAAATTAGTACTAGAATGAAATGGGTCCAAATAGAGTGAAAAGAATAGTGAAAATGCATATGCCAACTCTAAAAAACATGTAATTGAGGTATGGTTGTAATTGGATTAAAAAGAGTAATAAAAGTAGATGGATCGTTGTTGCCGATAAGTAACTGCTAACAAATTGATGTACAAACATTATGAGTTTTGTCATCTATATTATATTGTTACATTCTATAGGGTTTGACCAAATGATAGCAGAAGCTTTCACTAGAAAACAAAGTAAAGCTTAATGTTGACCAAACAACATGATCTGAACTTACGTGTTTGGATCGAGTAATCTCAAATTGGACTTTGGACGGTCTCACATATATACATAGCATATGCATAATCATAAATAGGGATTGTGCAATTGTCTTTAGAAAATTGCTCCACTTTAGTCAGTTGCATCCCTGATGCTGTCAAATCAGTTGGATTATTTCAACCATTTGTATTAAGTTCTAGCTTGTTTGTGAATATGGATTGATTATGTTATATTTTGTAATACTATTATATTTAAATAATTTAGTTAATATTCTCATATAAAATTTACACATGAAAGATTCATAATCTTGAATCAAACAAAGAAAGTTGTACATGCAATTATCTATTACAAATAAATATGATTTTTTCAAGTGTATCCTGTGAAATTGATAACGATACATTATCCATCTTAAAGAAGACATATGTTAATCCATATATCTACATTATGAAATACATTTTTTATTCAGAAACAACATCTTGATATGTATAAGGATATAAGAAGGAGGAGACTATAGTTTCTTAAAAATAAGACACAAACATTAAGATATGAAACATTTACAAACATAATCAACGTTACTTATGTTTACCTATAAACTATATGTTATTGAAATATTAAAAAAATAAAGAAAGTGCCACAATGAGTATAAGATATATGAGAACTACATAAGAAAAATGTTATTACCAATTCAATTGACTGTTTATAACTACAAACAATTAGCATTTCCTAAATTTAGTCACTTATTACTTACATGTTTTAGCATCATCTATATCATTTTAAAAAATTGTACTAATTAACATGGGACACACGTGTTCAGAAACTAGTTATATTATAAGTGGGAAGGTGCTTAGTCTAAAGTTGGATAACGAAAATGCCCTTCAACTTTTAAATTACCATTATGTCACGACCCAGACCATAGTGATTGGCACCCACACTAACCCTCCGGTGGGAGAACCATTACTACAACCCAGACTAAACAACTTAACCAAAAACTATGCATTTAAAGATACGGAAGCAGGTTTAAATGACAATAAAAATGGAGTCCCCATAAACTCCAAAGGTTTGAACAATTAAGTAACTAAACTAATGCGGAAATTCAACCCGTAGAACCTGAAAGTCAATGTACCAAAACTCTACTAACGACAAGTCTAAGAAGATCCATGGCAGCCCGAAAGAAATGGCTCACCCTTGAATCCGGTCATGCTCAATAGTCACCTAGCTGAGGTTTATCAATAACCGTCTGAAGATGCCCTGTACTCAACCAAGAACAAGAAAGTGCAGTATCAGTACACAACCACAGTGTACTGGTAGGATCACGCGGCTATCCTAATAAGTGTAACATACATTAGTCAATACAACAATATAATCACATGCACATATTGAAAATATACAATATCATCAACATATACGAACAATGAACAACTTCACGATTCTCACATATCACAGTTCTATCAATTTAGAGAAACATGTCGTCTTCCAATATCAATCGTCATTAGATATGAACGAACTCATCACAAGTAGATACACAACACAATTCAATGGTCCACTCACGGAACCCAATTCAATAGTCCTCTCATGGAACCCACACCAAATAGTTAGCTTACCGTAACGTGGTACCCGATCCAATGATTATGCCGGAACGTGGCAACCGATCTCATAATTATGCCGGAACGTGGCAACCGATCCAAGTTAGTTATGCCGGAACGTGTCAACCGATCCAAGTTAGTTATAACGGAACGTGGCAACCGATCCATTCAACACACCACAATCACAATCACAAGTATATCCTCAAGATCATACGTTTAAGTCATGATTTCATGGTAACCATCATTCATTTATCTAATTTTACAACAAAGTTGTGATCAATAATGCAACATTCATATACATACATGTATCATAATGAAACAAGAACAAACATATATCACACAATCATAGAATCACAACCATCACCTACCTCGAATCCAAGTTTGAATCCCCTAAAGCACTTGAATCTTCCCTTTCCGGATTCTTCCCGCTTGTTCGTGGTCTAAAAACATACAATTAATGCAAGGATCAATAAACGGGGCCTAATTACCCAAATTATAATCAACATTATCAACCCTAGGTCAACCCAAGATCCAATACCCAAATTAGTGCTTTTTCCACCATTAAATCTATAACAAAGCCCGCCCCCATCAACATTCACCCATTCTATTACGTTCTACGGATCGAAAAAGGGATTCGGGGAGTGAAAAGCTTACCTTTAGCCTCGAGAATGGTGAAAAATAGGTAGGAGTCGCCTGGGGTTCATTCCTTCGCTCTAAAAATAAAAAAGTGCCAAATAAGGTCGTTTAAGGGTTTATTTACGACTTTAAGTAGCGTCGAACCCGCCACAACGGCCCTCACCCCGCTGCAGCGTCTCCGCCATCGCGACACCAATCCCGCTAAAGCGGCTTGCACTAAACCAGTGAGCTATTTAAAGAATTCGAAGACCCCATTTCACAACCCACCTCTAACCAACGACGATAAAAAAATACCATTTATGCTAAGATCAATTCCGGGAGTTCTACTCGCCCGAATTCAATTCTGTAAAATCGTACGGGTTCTTTAACAAGTTATCTAACTACTAATGTAATCAAAATCATAATTAATTCACCGGTTGTTACTAGATTTACCTACACCTTAAAGACTCCGATTTCATCCAAATCTGGACTAGGTTGGGAAAATCCAATTACTCTGAAAAAGTTTTCCTGCCCTAAATTCTTTCCCCATTGGCTTTTCCATAACGATGCAAATCAGGTCGTTACACATTATCATATTATTATTATGCGAAAAAGGATAAATATACCCCCGAATTATTATAAATGGTATACAGATACCCTCTGTCATACTTTTGGGTCATTGGTGTCCCTGCCGTCCAAATTTTAGAACATATATATCCTTATGATAGACGACAGGACATATGGCATCATCTCAACGGCCCACTCAAAATTAATTAATACTTACCCAAAATTAAAATATTCTTGACCTGAATAACTTAAAAACCTGCCCCAAGTTATAACCCACAAGCACCTTGGCCCAAATGAAAAAAAAGGAACGCAACCCTTGCCTCCTTCATCTTTTCCTCACTTCTTCTTCAATGGCTTCTCTCACAGGTGCCATCTCTCGTCTCCTCGACTTTTGCACTTTTTATTACATATTTAGCGTTAATCGAAAATTCTTTGACTACTACATCAAATACCGTCTCTCCTCGTCCACAGCTGGAGCATGTACTGCTGCTCCACCAGGGCAGCGATGACGAAAATGGGAGCGAAAGACGCGACTAAAACTCCATGCTTATCCTGAAGATACTCGATGAGTTTCTGAGCGTCGGCGAGGGTTAAGTTGGAGATTTGATCTCCGAGCTAGACTACATTCTCTGGTACTTTGACAATGGCAAGAGGGTGAATGAAAGTTGTTCGGCGATGGTGGAGCTTGGGAATGCGAATGAGGAGTTCTAAGGTTTTGGTGGGGAAGGAAATTGAAGCTTTAAATTATTTTCATATGGTGGGTTGAACTCGTTTGGGTTCGGCATGATCATTTTCTATGTACAATGGCTTGAAAAATTAAGAACTTGGGCAAAAGTTCTTGAAAAGATCGGAGAAGTCAGCATAACTTGAGAAGATGAAGAAGGAGTTTTGGGTTATAATATGGGGCGGATATTATGTTATTTGGGTGGGTTTTAAAATTAATTTGGGTGGACCTTTAAATTATGGGTTGAAATTTAATAAATTTCCGGTAGGTGTTTTAGATTGAGATACCTGTCTCGGCGTTAGTAGAAAGGGTATATACGCTCCAAAATTTGGATGGCAGGGGTACCAATGTCCCAAAAGTATGACATAGTGTATCTGTATACCATTTATGATAGTTCGGGGGTATATTTGTCCTTTTTCCCTATTATTATTATTAATTACTACTATCTATCTATATCTATACTACCTTAAAAGCATGAACTTGATGTGAGGTCAAAATAACATATTTTTAATCATTAATTGCCTCACATTTAGTATTTTATATTTGTCCTTTATGAGCATAAATTTTATGGATTGTGCTAAATTGTGTATTTTATTTGTAGAATTAAATTGATGGAAAATTGGAGATGTTTGGAGCTAAAAACGAATTAAAGATGGAAAAGTTGAAGAAGGAAATCAAGCAGGCAGCTTAATGGAAATAAGTTAATATAATATTAATATAATTTATATGCAAATAAGGAAGAAAAACTTACCTGCTGGTCCACGTATCAGGCAGCAACATCAAAAGAAGTTACACGCACAAAATTGGAAGCTACAGGCGGAGAAAAAGGAATCCAAATTCCTTTTGGGTTTTGATTTCCTAATTTGTTTGGACTCAATTATTTTATTTAGGGTTTCCTACATCTATAAATAGGTCATGGAAATAATTATTTAGGAAGCCAAGAACCAAGATACAAGACACAATAAAATTTTTCTTCTAGCTTAGGAACTTTGGAAGAGCCACCGTAGAGGCCGGAGAATTGTGGTTTATTCTTTCTTCTCCTTTATTATTTATTTGTATTCGTGATTAATAAAAGATAGTTTAGCTATTGTTCTTAACTTTTTATGATTAACACAAGCATATTTATTTTAATAAATTTTGATTGTATTTTTGAGATAATGAGTAGCTAACTTTCATAACTAGGGTTGTGAGAACCATAAGCGATTAACAAAGTATGAATAATAACTAAGTAATTCTTAAATAGTGTTTTGCATGCATTGATAATTCTTTCGTTTAAAAGTCTTTTTAACGAGTGCACACGTTAGAACTCGCCTTGTTGCTACGTGCCAGATCAAGGAGGTAATCAACAAGAAAAGAATTATCAACATAGATTTAGTGTGATACTACCTAATAGGCTAGTGTCGATTGGTGCGAAGTAATAACTAAGCCAAACATCGATTATGATGTCTAATATGAGGTAAAGGTAAGGGTTAGTAAATTATACACACGTAGCCGGACCAAGGTGCGGGGTGAAATTCTCTAGATGCCGGACC